GAAAGAAAGAAAGAAAGAAAGAAAGAAAGAAAGAAAGAAAGAAAGAAAGAAAGAAAGGAAGAAAGGAAGAAAGGAAGAAAGGAAGAAAGGAAGAAATCAGAGAGGACAGAAAAATAGGCTTGACATGAAGTCTGTGACTTCACATCGTAGAGCAGATCTGAGGGAAGAGGAGAGGAGAAGATGGTCATGAGATAATCAGTTTTGGTGTCAGGTTAATATGGAACCTGAAAATGTGGAAAACATGGTTTAGAGAAAAAGAAAGTGAACAAAACTATGTGCAAGAATCACAGGGTAGCACTGCAGATGCGTGGGCGAGGTGAGGAGCTGTTAGGCGGAAATAGGCCATCAAATGCGATATGGCCCAGGCAGGACCAGTTACCTGTCAGCAGATTTTTCTAAAGAGATCATAAATTACCTTGCAAGGCCTTTCAGAGGTTTGCCATGTAACAAGAGAAAAGTCATTAGTACGAAGTGTGTTTATCATGTGATTCTGCTATAGATAAAACAGAAAGGCAGCGGCAATACCCATCAATTTTCTGGGGAAGCTCTAGTTCTAAAGGTTCAATATGATGATCAGTTATGGGTTAAGATCACATGTTCAGATTTTTATTTTTGAGAAAGTAAAATCATTATAATAATATCATACCTTCTCTTCCTGAAAGGAGATATAGCATCTGAATTCATGTGTCAAAAAAGGATAAGTCGCATGTTTTCTATTCAAATGAAACTTAAAGCTACTTGTTTTGAAAAAAAAAAATGTGCAGAAAAGCAGAGAAATATGTACCATAAAGATGGATGGAAAAAACGAGGTGACGCAACTTGATCTTAAATAATTTCAGAAGCTCAAATACTGGGTAAATGAGCAACAATGTCAAGGATGAGTTCCCAGGTGAGATGACTATCTCAGGATAGGGCAGAGGACTGGAAGGTCTAACAGTAGAAGATGAATTGCCCAGATTAGATTTGGGGAAATAGGCACTGTAGAAAGGAATGGAGAAAGTGCAAGCAGTGAACTTGGGTGTTATTACTTATGGTAAGGGTGGGGAGGGAGGAGGTGAAGAGCGGGAAAAACTGAGGGAAAGAAATAGAAAAGAAAATTTGTCTTTGGCATCCAGATCAGGGCCTAAATCTTTCTGTTTTAATTCTCCTAAAGTGCTAGCTGTTAAAGTCTTGAAGTGGTATTGACCTCTCAACATGGGACTCTTAGGGAATGGCCTGGCTCTCATCCTCAGCTTGGAGGGCAGAGTGCATGAGTCCAGTATCCAGAGTCAAACCACAGCTCTGCCGCTTAACGAGCTGCGAGCCTTGGGGGACATCTCACTAGCCTGCGCTTACATCACCTCCCTGAGCTTCATTTTCTCATTTATTTCGTCTCATTTATGTGAATATATAAAATGGGGATAATAATATAAAACCACAGTTCAAAAACCCAAAGAAGTTTGGATACCAAATGATATTTCACAAATTATTTGGTGGCAAAAGCTGACCTGAACGGATTAAGTTATTCATAGGGTACTCATCTCATAGGGTAACTGTAAGGATTAAATGCCTGCGACACATTAATAACTTAATAAATATTGGTTTAGTATTATTATACTGTGTCCTTTCTAAAGGCCCACTTGTAGAAAGCTGTGAGTTGAGGAACTGCCAAAATAATAATAGATACACTAATTTATATAAGTGAATGTCAGGCTCCTGATTCGAGCCTAGATTTTGTACGTGCTAGCTCTTGGACATGCCTGGAGGACTGGTAATGGTCAGGGGAGTACTTGACAGGGTTCTAGATACTAAGGGGCCAAAGACCTTCTTGGAAAAACAATGGGGGGGGAGAATTGAGGCCCACAAGTTTAGTTGGAAGACCAGGATCTTGAGTGAAATGAGCAATTTGGAATATAGCAGGGTATTTCTGCTTCTATACTCCGATTCCCATGAACTTCTGCCTGCAGAAGGGGACTGCAAGGAGAAAGCAAGTAACAGCTGGTCCTGGTGACTCAGCATCCAGCTGGGAACATCTGCACCACAGGATTCAGCCCTCTAGTGGCTTGGGCTCTGAGAGAGCAGATCCTCCTGCAGACAACACTGGGGCATGAAAATAGGCCTGCACCACCGCAGGGGCAATAGTGGACATCAGCAGCCTTGCCACCTTTGGGCATCTATAGTGACTGGAGGGAGTCCAAGTTGTCTGAGGAAGAACAGTGAAGAGAAGGAACCAGGAAAATACTGTTTAGTGAATAAAATTATGACTCTCTTTTTACTCCTAGCCTGCTGTGACCTGGGGAATTTAGGCTTCAAACAGAGAGCAGAAAAAATGAAAGAAAGGACAAGAAGTGGTTGCTAAAAAGAAAAGATCGTGTTTGAGTTGTAATTAAGTTGCTTTCAAATCTGTGCTTCTCTGAACCTGGGGTGTCCAGCAAATTGTGCCATAGCTCTCAGGTACAGCGACACAGCGGGGTCTCTACTTCCACCAGGCAGCTAGTGGGAGAGATGGCCAATAGACAAATACTCTCAAAATCATAAGGCAAGTGCTAGGAAGGGAAATTTTCCAGCTCATTTGTGTAACTCCCAAGTAAAGCAGATGCCATTTTCAAATGTGCTTTTCTTGGCCTAATGTTCTTTTTTTAGCATGATTAAGGGCAGATCAGCTCATTGCAACACAGATAGTTAAGTTAATTCAGGATTATGTTAACACTAAGTGCTTAATGATGGATTAGTCATATATCAGGCTGTGACAAAAGGCTTCACTCTTCAAGCAAGAGATGCTGGTTCTAGCACATTTTTAATTTCTGAAGCTTAAATCCAGGGTAACTGGATTTAGTAGGTTAATCCCTCTTTTATTATAATTACTTTTAATAAATTTGGCCCATTCTCTCCTCTCTTACACTTCCACGTGTTGTCTGATAGACAAAAAATAAAAATAAAATAAAAAAGAAAAGAAATTTATTTTGGTAATGAAAAGTTTCTGCAAGAAGACTCTTAATCCCAAGATTTAAAAAATATATAATAATATAATATAATATAATATAATATAATATAATATAATATAATATAATAATATAATGCAGGGAAGAACCAGTGCTTTTTGCAAAGGGGTTTATTGGGGGTGATTCAATCAAGGAAGTATCCCTGAGGAGCTAGGAGGCAAGACTGATGGGGAGGCTGAAGGGGGTTGATATGTGCAAGAGCAAGGACCTAACTCTGGGAGAGTATAGGAAACCATCCAGGTCTGGTCTGACTGCACGGAACTAAATTAGAAACAAGGTGGTTGCCAGGGCTGTGAAGCTAGAATTTGGATAGGCATGAGAGCCTGGCTGGTTTCCAGAGGTAAGAGAAGCTTCAGGTTAGAGCTTGCAGGTGGGCATCTGCTTAAATGCTCCAGAGAACAATGACCGTGATGATGGAGGTGGCTGTGAAGAGCAGGTAGAGGCGGAACAGCAGGGTGTCCATCATGTGGCTGAACTGCACCCACAGGCTGACCAAGTGCTGCTTCCGAGCCTCATCTTCCTGCCAGGTCCTTGTTGAGTCAGGGAACCCATTTAACTCTGCCTCTTGGGGACCTGGCACTTTCCCCACCAGCTCCATGGGTTCCTTCAGACCTAAGGAGAGACAGAGACCCAGCCATGGGCTGCAAAGGTCACCTGAGACCCAGCTGTGCATGGCTCAGAGGCTGAGCATCAATCTAGGATCCAGGAGATCGAGGTTCAATTCCTGGTCAAGGCACATGCCTGGGTTGCAGGCTGGATCCCCCGTGGAGAGTGTGCAGGAAGCAGCTGACCAATGACTCTCTCATCATTGATGTTTCTATCTCTCTCTACCCCTCTCTCTTCCTCTCTCTGAAACCAGTAAAGATATATTTAAAAAAAAAAAAAAGTCACTGGAGGAGGGAGAGGAACAGAGAAGGAGGCAGGAGCAGAGAAGTGGAGGCGTTGCAAGAGGAAGTGAGGGCATTGCTGACTTCCTTACCAGGCAGGTGGGCAGGGGTGAGACCCAGGCCCTTGGTTCCCTTCTGGGGGGCAATGGGACAGCATTTCCTTGGGCTGGTACAGTGCAGAAGCAGGGAATGGAGCCACCGGGGCATCGGTGGGGGCTGAGTGGTGACCAGGTGCAGCAGGTAGGTGATGAAGATGCTCTCCAGCAGGCTGAGCACCATCAGGGACAGACACAGGGCAAAGTAGACACCTGGAAGGAAGGCCAGCCTGTGTGAGGGCCAGTGGTACCTCCTAGGACTTCCCGTTTCCAATTTTCCCAAAGGACCCTTTTAAAAGATTCTTTTTCACTCTGAACTGGTTCCACTGATCCCTCTCCCCACCCCATCCCCCGACCTTGCTTTCATTCTCCGAAAGAGGGAGGGTCCATACTGATAAGAGGGGTGCCAGTGTCCGGGAGTAAGTTACTCATCATGAGCAGGAAGACATTGTAGCCCAGCAGAAGTGTCATCTTGAATGGGGGGCGGATCTCACTCTCTGCTGGCAGGTAAAAGCTGAGGGAATCGATGACAATCAGAAAGCTACTGGGCACCAGAAGGTTTATGACATAGAGGTTGGGCCTGCGCCTGATGGCCACCTGGTAGGGAGGAGAGAGGGGGCAAGGGAGAAGTAGGCTGGGAGGCTGCCAAGCAAGTTAAGAGCAAGTTGAGGTTTGTCCTAGAACAAACTGTCTAGTAAGGAAAAGTCACATTCACTGTCCTGTCTCTCCAACAGTCTTGTAATCACCGCCGTCTGCTTTCCCAGGGGTTGATTCTGCCATGCTGCTTACTGAAACAGATCTCATTCTTTCTCGGCTCAGAGCGTCAACTTTCTCCACTTACATTTTTATCCCTACCAATGTGCTCTTAGCAGGATTGAGGGGCCAGATTCTTAGGTTATTCTGTGCATTTTAGCCTTGTATTTCTGCCTGCTCTTCTCATTAAGGTCTAATATCTAGTGACTTTGCTGGTGAAATTTAAGACCAATGGGAGGGAAAGCAAGACGGTGGCAGATATTTTGGGGTCACCAGGATTTGGAATCATAATATCCCCAAGATAGTGTTTTATGACTTTTCCACCATCTCTTTTAATTCTAATTTTATTTTTATTGAATTTATTGGGGTGGCATTGGTTAACAAAACTATATAGGTTTCAGGTGTATACCTCTACAATACATCATCTGTGTATTGTATTATGTATTTGCCACCCCAAGTCAAGTCTCCTTCCATCACCATTTATCCCTTCTTTACCCTCTTCTACCTCCCCTCACCCCACTTTCCTTCTGGTAATCACCATGCTGTTGCCTGTGTCTGCCACCTTCTCTTTTACAAAGTGAACATAAAAATTCCAGCCCTCCAAAAACTGCCACTAGCCCTGGGGGTGGGACGCTCACCTCACTGTATATCACCGCCATAGGAGCTTTGTTTCTTCCTCAGGGAGTATTTATTCCACCTAGATACTGTGCTAGGTACTAGAGATTTATCAGTGAAAAAAGTGATAAAAATCTCTGCCCTCAGGGAGCTTCTTTCTAGTGGGAGAGCTTATGCTCTAGTGGGGGACATAAGCTATGACTCTTAGGAGAAAATCAGAACCAGGACCCCTGAGCTCACATAGAAAATGATTTCGTCATACTGGTTGGTGCCCATAGTCATCTTCACTTTTCTCTGGTGGATATCCAGAAGTGTCCATTCCCCCTTGTTCTGCATGACGTTCTGTGATGTGTTCGAAATCTCCTGCACTTCCTTCATCAGGCCCAGGACCAATGTCTCTACTGCAAAGAGATCCAGACTACTCAGCCTCCCCAAATGCTCTCAACCCCATTGTCCAGACTATTGGATTTCTTGCCACTTCGCTTCCACATCCATTTCAGGGATATTCCCTCATTGTTCCCAGCTTTCTCTCCTTTCCTCTCCCAAAATCCTTTCTCTGCCTCTCAACAGACTACTGTATATGAGCCTCACTCACCTGTGTAGATGAAAGAGCTGAAGGTGAGGGTGCAGTTTTGTTCATCGAAGGGGAAATAGAAGATGTCCAGGTTACAGATGCTGGTCACCTTCATTGGCTTATCATATCTGATGTATCCTTCACTGGTGACATAAGCCATGAGTCCTGTAGGCGTCTGATCTATATCCATGCTGTTTATGAAAAGAAAGAGGAGGTGGGTGCCATGGGTTCTCCATCAGACTGAGCTTTATTTCTCTCTTAGGTCCCCTCATTCCTGTGCTCCAGCCCCACTCATCTGATTTCCATCTATCTTCCATGTTCTGGGGATTTTGTAAGCTCCTCAGTTCAGATACTGCTCCTTTCTCAATTGGGTCTTTGTGTGGCCCCTATTGGTTACATTATGCTCTTCTCTGGATATATGGTTTCCTTCTTGCTTTTTTCATCCCTGGTACTCACAACTCCTTGATGAAAATATCTGGAATCCATAGGTTATCAGTTGCTATGCTGAGCTTTCTGATGCCCCCACATTCCTCTGGATTCCACCTGATGAATGGATTGTACCAGATCTAGAGGAAACCACAAATGGGACAAATGGAGTAGGAACTAGTTTTAGTCTTGCTCTATCTCTTGCACTTCACATTCCTTTTTTCACTCATTTCTTCACTTTCCCACACCCTCTCTGGTGACAGCTGTCGCAATGTCACTAACAAAGTCTTACTTACTTCTACTTCTTGCTCAGTGCTTTCAAGGGAGACCTTGAGCTTGGCTTTGGATTCCCTGGGATGGAGCCACATAAATATTGGCTTCCATGACCTTGGTTTATTCCACATTCTCCCTGTGCCCCATCTCTGCCCTCCAAAACTGGCAGAATAGTAAGGAAGCTTTGTTTTTCCTTGTTGGCCTGACTCTGTTTCAACTTTCTAATTCATGGGTATTTTCAGCTTTATCCATTGTAATCTACAAAGCTGGACCCAGGAGTAGAAAAAGAAAGATACTATAGTCAAGAGGAAGCTGAGTCTATCATACCAAATTCAGCCACAGGAATGATGTCATCAGTTGAAGCTGTGCATTCTGGAAAGACAATTTTCATCCAGAATCATTAAATCTATGAAGTCACATCCAATGCCACCACTTACCTCTTACTCACTTCCAAGGCCGTTCTTTGCGTCAATTATGATTTTTAATCATAAGCCACTGAAAAATGTAGGTCAAATAATCCAGAGCACATGGGAAACACAAGTGAAGAAAATCGTATGAGGCCATTGGGATTATGTTTCTTGTGGAGTATTCCAAAAAGGGACAGATTTTACCCACAGTGATATTATTATCGCATTACCTTTCATGCCTCCCTATCCCATTGAATGAGCCCTTAGTTTTACAAAATCCAATCAAGAGACTCACTGCTTACCACTAGACTACTGCAGTGTTAGGTCAGGACTTACCACTTCCAGGATGGCAGACAGGGTGAAGGAGATGTTCACATGAGTGGGGTTGCTCTTGTTGATGACTGGACGGAAGGCTTTTCTGTCAAACACTGCTTGGAAGGCAGCAGGATCCACCCCATACTTGTCAAACCCTGAGCAATTGATGGTGAAAGTGTCTCCTCTTCCTGTAGGGAGCAGAGACTCTGTGAGAGGAGTGCCAGGGCTGGGGCCTGGGGAGTTTTTCTGCACAGTGAGAAAATAGGGGGCATGGGAGAAGCATGTGAGCTCTTCCTTCCTGAGCCAGGGAACCTGAGCTAGGCTAGTAGGCAAATGGTGGAAATTGATGAGGTGAGCTGAGTCAGGGCTCCATTCTTAATTCCATTGTTTCTGTCTCCATGCAAAACTTGCCCAAAGGTGCATGCAAACTCAGCTCTGACCACTGCTTTTCAGTGTCCTGCTATATTCTTAACAATCTCACCACAAACCTTTCCAATTTCACTCAATGTCCTTCCATTGCTCATCTCTGTCTTTGAGCCACCTGGGTGATGTCAGTGACAAATTTTGCAATCACAGTTCTCCTCCTCACTATATTAATAAGGCCTAGGTGGTCATAAATTAATGATAAGGGAAGTAACCAGGTAGGCAGCGTGAGATCAGGCACATTCAGAGTGATGTGGCCTTATACGGGTGGCATCAGGTAGGCATTGTGAGATATTTGGGACCTTAAGGAAAGAACCCAGTTTTTTCCAGTTAATGAGTATTTGTTGTGTCTCTACTATATGCCAGGATTATTCTCTTCTAGAACTCAGTAGTCATCACCACCAAGACTATCTGTTTTTGTTGTTAATCCTGATCTGAGGATATTTTTTTCCAATGATTTTTTTAGACAGAGTGGAAGAGACAGAGGGAGTGGGGAGGGAGAGAAACATTGATGTGAGAGAGACACATTGATTGGTTGCCCCCAGCATGTGCCCTGACTGGGACAGGGGATCGAGCCTGCCACTGAGGTATGTGCCCTTGGCCAGAATCCACCCTGGGACCCTTCAATCTGCAGACTGACACTCTAATCACTGAACAAAACAGGCTAGGGTGAGACTATCTTAAAGAGAATTCCCTGATACCAATCTTATACCCACCCCCTTTCCAGTCAGACTTTGTAGAGAAGAAACAGGGAATGATGTGGTAACATCTATTTTTATCTCTCTGATGCTATACTATCCCTCATTGCTCATTTTCAATAATGAATAGGAAAAATACTCTAGACTAGGAAAATTAGAGACTGAAAATTTTCCCTCTTTCATAATGAGTCTCATCCATGTCCTTCCCTTTAGCATCTTTCCTGTTCCATTACATTTATTTCAGGAGAGCCAAGAAGGAATTCTCTTCTTAACATCACCTGATATTCTGAAACCATGGGATAGATTATATGCTTGGAAAGAGAAAGATATGGGGAAGGAAAAGAGGCCAATAGAAGCAGGAGAGTGGAGAAGTGACTAAAGAGAAGAGTGAGCTAACTGTTAAGATCCTAGAAAGAGATACAAAGCTGTCAGTGTTACGAGTTTCCATTTTTACCTAAATGAACATCCAATCATTGACTGCCTAGGAATAACAAGAATTAGCCTGGTTTCTCTGTTTCCCAAAACTTGTATGTCGGCTTTGCTCCTGCTCATGCCCCATCTTACCTTGAAGCAGCAGGTGGAGAATGAAGCAGAGGGGGAAGCCCTCCCCATGGAGCCAACCTCTTTGCATCCTCCCCTCCTTGGCTCTTCTCTGGGGACTTAGTGATGATGTTGACCTTAAAAGACCAGAGGCCACACCTTGAGCCCTAGCTTTGAATAATGCAGGTGTCGGGTGGCATTAACCACCCCTCTAACAAGAACCCCTAGAGCTAAGAGAATGTCATGGAGGACTACCCACCTGTGACCTAATTGGGCCTCAATCTAATCTCCAAAAGTAATCTGGAAAATCGGTTTGGAGAGGAGGAAGCAAAAATATTTGGTCACTCGAGCAGTGCCAACGACTTCTGCCTACTGCGGAGTCACTGGCATATAATGCACACTACAGAAGTCACATGACTGCCATTGTCTTGTCTTCACGTGACACACGCACTTATTGTAACCCTCTTGCCATCCTTTCAAAAAAATGGGGGTCTCGTTCTTTATAATCAACTTTAGAGTCTAAAGTTTTAAACATGACTCCAGTACTCACAGGTCTTAACTTATGATTTTTTTTGAGTGTATCAAAAACAATGTGGACCCAGGTCTACTGGATGGAGGCAGTGATTAGTGGGATAGAGGGGAGGTGGCAGAGGTAATACTGTTTTTTGTAGAAGTTGACTTAGGAGGTCATAAGCGATCAGCCTGCAGGTTTATATTGTTTTTGGCCATGCGCTAATGTTTTAAAGAAATTAGTTGTCAACATTTTGGAATTGGGAGATTTGACATAAAAACTGTGTTGCCTGGCCAGCATGGCTCACTGGTTGAGCACTGACCCATGAACTGGGAGATCATGTTTCGATTCCCCGTCAGGGCACATGCCCGGGTTGCTGGGCTAGATCCCCAGTAGGGGACCATGCAAGAAGCAGCCGATCAATGACTCTTTCATCATTGATGTTTCTAACCCTCCCTCTCCCTTCCTCTCTCTGAAATCAATTAAAAAAAAAAAAAAAAAAAAAAG